CAGATGACACTAAACTGGGAGGAGTGGTAGATACGCTGGAGGATAGGGATAGGATACAGAGGGACCTAGACAAATTAGAGGATTGGGCCAAAAGAAATCTAATGAGGTTCAACAAGGTCAAGTGCAGAGTCCTGCACTTAGGATGGAAAAATCCCATGCACTGCTACAGACTAGGGACCGAGTGGCTAGGCAGCAGTTCTGCAGAAAAGGACCCAGTGGTTACAGTGGACGAGAAGCTGGATGAGAGTCAACAATGTGCCCTTGTTGCCAAGAAGGCTAACGGCATTTTGGGCTGTATAAGTAGAAGCATTGCTAGCAGATCGAGGGACGTGATCATTCCCCTCTATTCAGCATTGGTGAGGCCTCATCTGGAGTACTGTGTCCAGTTTTGGGACCCACACTACAAGGATGTGGAAAAATTGGAAAGAGTCCAGCGGAGGGCAACAAAAATGATTAGGGGGCTGGAGCACATGATTTACGAGGAGAGGCTGCGGGAACTGGGATTATTTAGTCTGCAGAAGAGAAGAATGAGGGCAGATTTGATAGCTGCTTTCAACTACCTGAAAGGGGGTTCCAAAGAGGATGGATCTAGACTGTTCTCAGTGGTAGCAGATGACAGACCAAGGAGTAATGGTCTCAAGTTGCAGTGGGGGAGGTTTAGGTTGGATATTAGGAAAAACTTTTTCACTAGGAGGGTGGTGAAGCACTGGAATGGGTTACCTAGGGAGGTGGTGGAATCTCCTTCCATAGAGGTTTTTAAGGTCAGGCTTGACAAAGCCCTGGCTGGGATGATTTAGTTGGGGATTGGTCCTTCTTTGAGCAGGGGGTTGGAGTAGATGACCTCCTGAGGTCCTTTCCAACCCTGATGTTCTATAATTCTATCACCTCATACTGGAAGTGGTGTCTGGCTACCACAAAACAAAAGTATTTGTGATGACTATTATGAATTAATATATGAAAACATGCATCCTTTAAATCAAGAGCTGTGAACCAATCCATGACCTACAGAGAAGGGATTATGGAGGCTGAAGTCAATATACAGAACTGAAGCTTCCAAAACTGTACTTGTTCAGATCCCTTCAGGGGAGTACTGGATGACCCCCCCACCCCCAATCCTTTTTTGTACCAGAAAGTAACAGGAATAAGAGCCCTGACCCCTCACACATACAGGGATCTCCTTGACTGCTCCTATCAGATGCAACTTTTCTACTTCTGCAAGAAGAATAGTCTCATGAGAAGGGACCCTTAAGAGGGAAATGTAGGGGAAAGGGGTGGGGGGAGGCAATTTTTCGAATTATATGGCATAGCCCCTTTCTGTTTTCTCTAGCACCCATTGGGGTCTGATGTAATTTGCCTCCATGCATTGAGAAAGTAGGATAGCTTGCCTCCAAAAAAGGGGGTAGATTGGTTCTTAACTCTCAATCATCTCGTCAAAACTCAGACTTGTTCTGAGCTGAAGACATGGATGAGGAAGCAGGTTGGTTAGAGCTAGACCTTGGTTTGAAAGGCCTCTTTCTAGGCTGACTCTGGAAGGCTGCCGGCTGTTGCCATGGTTGACGTATCTGATTCGATGAAAAATACGGTTGGCATGGGACTGTGTCCTGTTGGGATATGTAAGGGTTAAGCAGAAAACTGGGAAACTGCTGGTGAACAGAAATGGTATTAAGGAGTAAAGGCACGGGCAAGCACCGCTTCTGCGCTTGATAGATGAAGTGCAGGCATCTTTCTGTGCTTGATCGATTTAGGGCTACCACTCTCCCTTCCCTTCTCCTTGTTAAGGGTTTGATAAGTCACAGCTGCCTGAGGAATGTGGGGATCTAAAGAATACCTTTTGGGTAAAGTAGTGTTATCTCCCCCTCCCTTCCTTTCCCAGCTACACAGGCGAATTCGGGGTTATGGCCCCTTGCTCCCTGCCCTACAAACTGCTGATCCAGGGAGTTCATGACTGCAATTATAGCAAAGAAGTGTATCTTCAAAGTAAAAATTATCTATAGAATATGCTAATACTGTAAACAGTAATCGGGGCGGGGATAATTATATTCAGTATAGAGTTATCAATATTCATTGTATGGGTGTTCATATTACTCCATAAGGGTTTTGGGGGTGTTGTAGTAAATGTAGGAATTTACATACTAATGTAGATAAAAAGAATGTGCTGTAATTAATCCAGTGCTTACTCTACAATTGGGTCAAGGGGAACAAGTACCCCAATACTGAAGCCCGTCTGCTCAATCCGCCTCTAGGTCAGCCTGTTCTTTTAACATGTCCCATACTGGAAAGAAGGTCCAGAAGGGAATCAAACCCAGAAAACGGCTGTCAGTCTCGCATCCTTTAGATTTCCAGCAGTTCAGCTGTCTTTTCTCTGAAAAGACCCTCCTCTTTGAAGGGGAGATCCTCCAGCTTACTCCTCGTGTCCAGAGCTAGAGGAGACGAACGAAGCCATGCATGCCTCCTAATGCCCCAGGAGAAGCCAGTACTCTGGGAGCAGAATTTGAAGAGTCAAAGGAGGCCCAGAGGGAGTGCGTGGCTACATTTTGGCCCTCCATTAAAATGGCATTTGCTAACCTTATTCTGTCATCAGGTAAGACTTGTAAAAACAGTGTCATCTTCTCCTGTAAGTGGGCCATGACTGCCTGATAATTTGCCGCCCTAATACTGAGGGACGATGGACAGAACATTTCTCCCCAATGACTCAATCCTTTCCCCTTCCTTGTTGGCTGCGGTGGAGTGTGGCTGTCCAGATCTTGCCGTGCGACTGGCAGCAGTCACCAACAGTGAATTAGGGCTTGTCTCCACTTACTGGGAGATCAATGTGCAGTTGATTTAGCGGGTCTAGTGAAGACCTGCTAATTCAATTGCCGATTGCTCTCCCGTCAACACACTGCAATAAGTTGACCTACGGTATGTCAACTCCAGCTATTTACATAGCTGGAGTTGCGTAACTTAGGTTGACTTAGCCTTGCCCTTAGGGATAGGATGGGTATGGAAGTAGGAGCTCCCCTCAGAGGGTATCTGATACAACTTGTCAGCTCTCTCAGAAACAGGCTGACAAGCAGCAGACAAAGTCCACATGGATTTAGCCAGCTGTAGCAAACCATCTAAGATAGGTAGGGATATTCTACTCCTTGAAGTAGCATTAAAGGATATCAAACACAAGGTGAGAAGTCTCTTCCACATCCACTGCAGGAAAATTTACAGTGGATACCATACAATCCATTAAATTGTGGCACTGTGTAGCATCCTCAGGAGAGGAGGCTGAAGCCACCCCCACATTCATCTGGTGATAAATCAGGTTCATAATCTGTTTCCAAATGCTACTACTCAAAGAAGGGAGCTACCTCTTCATCTTCCTCCTCAGACAGCATTTCCAGCCTCATCATCTGTAGTGTCAGCCTGAGGATCTCTGGACTCTCAGATCCTTTGCAGAAGAAAAATTACCTCTCTGCCTACACAGATGATAATAGCAAAAGTCCTGAGGTAGCCCCCCATAAGGCGATGGGCCACAGGACAACCAGTTCCCCCAGCAACTAGGGTTCAGGAACATGCCTGCTGGAGGTGGACTATAGGGTATGAATTAAGCCACAAGTGTCTGCATTCTTCCTCTATTTCCCTCCTGGTAAAGATCCAGACATATCAGACATAGAATGGGATAACGGCTGATCTGGAGGAGAGTATGGAAATCCAGTTCTTTGTGGTGACCCTATAAGGGTCCTAGAAGGAGGAAGCATAAGGTGTTCACAGGAAGAACCAGCAGCGCCCTCTGATCTCTTCTTCCTATCACAAGACTGAAGCCACAGCTTTGGAACTGTAGTGGTCTTGAGAGAATCAGACGGATCTGAAAGTTTGATGCAGTGGCCATTTTGTCCCTATGCCTCTTTTCCTTCGGTGATGGGACAGACGGAAATGAAAGCATCAATGGCCCTGATTCTGACACACCAATCGAATCCATCTTCCTGGATCTGAAAGTGGAGTTCAGAACTGACCTTGGTCTTGCAGCAGGAGGAGTGCCATGGGGGTTGGGTATCTACAAGGCACTAGGTACGGGACCAGTGAGGGTGGCCGAACTGTCTCTCGAACTCTCTTCCAGAATTAGGGCAGTTGGATCTGACTGTGTGGTCTTCGGTATGGACATGCATAGCCTCGGAGGCTTGACTGAGGGAGCTGCGGGAACCCAATCTGGCCCCGACGGTCTGTGGCCTCTTGGAAATCTTCGATCACTGGGAGCCACTGAAAGTGAGAGGAGCAAAAACCGGTTTCTTAGACCCTGGATCTGAGGAGTGATGGGATCCAAAGGGTCTAGCATGGAGAGCTTCCTTGACAAGGAGGAGCTACAAACAAGTCTCCCTGTTCTTGAGGGCTCTGAGAGCGAAGGTCTGACAAGTCAAACACTCAGAAAGCGAGCACCCTTCTCCCAGGGAACACATGTGATTGTCAGATGCTGAGAAGCCAGCTGGGCAGGAAATGCACCTCCTAAATCCCAACCACCTCTGCTTCTTTGAGTCCACCAGACCTGTGAAACACACTCACTATAGTACAAAGCTAACACTAGCTCTCTAAAAGAGAATGACTCAGGTTCCAAAGAGCCAGGCCAGGTTCACATCCATGCAGGCCCAGAGTTGGAAGGAAGTGAGGTGGTGAGTGCGCTCCACCCCATCCAGTCTTGCCGTCAGGATGTCAGTGACACAGAGGATGGACGAGATGCGGGAGAGCTCTAGATGACCCTGCTAGAAGAAGGTTCCAAGGTCAGGCATCACAGACAGTGCAGTACGGAATGTGAATGTGCAGAGCCACCTGAAGGGAACAAAGGTTAAGCTACCACAATGCCTGCCCCACTTCACCCTCAGCTACAGCTTTCTGCTACATCCCACACCCAAGCTTTCTGTTCCAATTTAGGCGGAAGGCTCTTTGGAGCCAAGATCTCATCCCTATCCTTGTCTGTAGAGCACCCAGTATGCCTCTATGTGGACTATACTGATTCCCAGGGAATACATCCATCTAACCTTTCGAAGACCAGTCGGCTGAGCGTTTCGCTGGTTACAGACGGCACCTTCAGGGTCTCCTGCAGGATTCCAATCTTCTTCTTCAAACTCTGAAGAAAAGAAAAAACAACAACAACAGAGCACAGATGAGGAAATGGGAAGTCTGTGCCAGAGAGAGTTTGCATCCTCCTGCCCAGGAAAGCACACAGGCTGCAACACAGGGGAGAGACAGAGTCTCAAACAGGATCAGGAGAGAGGCGACAGAATAGGTATGGACAGTGAGCTAGGTGTCCAGCTAGAGCTGGCACAAGTCCTGGCTCTGCAGCTGTAGGCCATGGACTGCTACCAGCTACTGTAGGCTGAGGAGTGGAGGATCTCACCATAATCTCCTTGTCTGCGTTACTCAGATCCTTCTGGGTGCTTTTTAACTCCTCCTTCATCTTCTCCAACTCCAAGAATGTTTTCTGCAGCTGCAGAGTAAGAACAATTCAACAGTGCAATGGTAGGCAAAGATCCCAACCACATATCAGGTATACAGTAAGCACAAGCTATCTTTCCCAGTTAACTTTCAGGCCCTACTGTTTGAGAATTGAACTCGCCATAGTGGAGACACAGGGCAGCCACTCTAGATCGCATAGATGAGTGTTTTTCAAAGTACAGGTCGCGAACTAGTACTGGGTTGTGGAATGTCAGGCACTGCTGATTTAAATTATAACAATCGTTGCCACGCAGCAGCTCTAAAGGGCCCCGCAGCAGGGACCTGGAGAGGAGAAAGGTAGGGTGTGGGGGGAACTGGGGAGGGGAGCAAGTTGGGGCTTGCAGGGCTGCTGCGGGCCTCTCCCCTGGTCCTGGAGCTCTATGCCAGGCCAGGAGACGGGCCCCTTCCCCCGGAGCTCTGTGCTGCCGGCCGAGAGACAGAGAGAGAGGGGGCAGAGGCGCAGGTCCCTCCCCCGGAGCTAACTGCCTGCACCCCAAACTCCTCATCCCTGGCCGAAGAGCCCGCACCCCCAACCAGAGCCCTCACCACCCCGCATCCCAACCCTCTGCCCCAACCCTGAGCCCCCTCCTGCACCTTGAACCCCTCATCCCCAGCTCCACCCTAAACCCCTCACCCCCGCATCCCACCCTCTGCCCTACCCTGGGCCACCTCCCACACTCCTTACAATAGGCTTACTGAGGCTAGTGTCTAGTGTTAGTTATGTAAAGTGGGTTAAGCTGGAATGTATTGCAATATTATGATTTTATGAAAACGCTAGTTAAAAGATATAAATTATGTTTGGTCATGGGTATCAATTTTTCTTCAACTGGGTCACGAGGAAAAAAGTTTGAAAACCACTGGCCTGGATCACGGGCGTACTCCTGAGTAAGCAAGCCATGCCTGTTCATTCCCTCAAGCTGCCTGCATTGGGAATCCCATGGTGGTTTATCTCAGACCCAGCCTCCAGCAGAGAAGTTTCACAGGTGATTTCCTGAGGTTTCAGGCCCAATGGTGACAGCTTTTCCATGGTTTAACACATGGGTGGCAGCAGCTGCACTTTGGTTCAATCATTTGAGTTTCCACAGGATTTGAGACACATAAGATCAAAGGGAATCAGGACTGCCACCTTGGACAACGGTGATGATGGGGCCTCACCACTCCCACAGGGACAGCAGCTTTGCTGCATCAGCATTAGTACAACACAAACATGCCAGTCACTGCAACTTCACTAATTCAGGAAAGTAGTTCTGTTCTAGGACCATGGACTATGACATTATGGGACTTCAGTAGTATGGTGACTATACCCCTGGCTACTCCTGGGCAAGGGCAGCTTGTATTCAATCCCTGCCACTCAAAATCACAATACATCTGCTCTGCTGCCATTGGAGGGCTGAGGGATTCCTATTTGGCAATGCACTCCCCCCTGTGCCTCTTCATCAGTCGGGTACAAGTTTCAAGTCGCTACTCAATCCCACCTCCAGTCTCGGTCAGCAGCTACAGACCTCAACCAAATTATCAAGGGATGCCACTGGCCAGGACAGGACCTGCCAGATCACCAGGGCTGGGAAGGCCACGGCTGCTTGGATACCCAACAGCAAATTAACATTACCAATGTCACTTTAGCCCCCAAGCACACCTTGCAACAGCACCTATTTCAGACAGTGAGCTATATAGGGAAGGGATGGTAGCTTGCTGCAGGGCACAAATGCCGTATACACAAGAGGGCAGAACATTCCATCAGAGGTTAGTTATAGCATTTGTTCTCTTACAAGCTCTGGACTTGTAAAGAAGAGAGAGATTTACCTGGTTAGGATAACAGATTGACAGCTTAGGATAACAGATTGACCAATCAGTGGGGCTCTTCAAACACGTGCTCCAAGCACAAGGAAGCACCAGACGAATTTTTCAGTTTACCAAGCAGTGGCTAGAGTAACTGATACAGCTGGCTGGCAGGAGCAGCACTTACTGTGAGTGAAGGGCAGAGGCTATGGTTGGACACGTACAGAACAGAGACCACCCAGACACCTTTGATGTGCAACTCCCTGCACTTTCCTTACCTTATTATTGGCAGAAAACAGCTCCTTTTTCAGCTTCTCAGTCAACTCACTAGACGCCTTCCGAGCCTCTTTCAAATTTTCATATTCCCTGGAAAGAGCCCAAACTACAATCACTCTGGGCTTTTGAGATAGAGTTCTTAACCGGAGTCAGTGATCACATGCTGCCTGCAGATACCCGATTCACAGCTCCACGGCTGCAGAAAAGAGTTACCTTTTCCGTAACTGGTGTTCAAGATGTGTTGCTCATGTCTATTCCACAATAGGTGTGCACCGGTACCAGAAGTTTTCCTCCTAGCAGTACTTGTAGGGGAGCACCCCTAGCAACCCCTTGAGTGGCACCTCTATGCTGCGCGCTCCCCCCACCCTCAGTTCTTTCTTGCCAGACAACTCCGACAGAGGGGAAGAAGGGCAGGATGTGGAATAGACATGAGCAACACATCTCGAAGAACACCAGTTACGGAAAAGGTAACTGTCTTTTCTTCTGCGACTGATTGCTCATGGGTATTCCACAATAGGTGATTCCAAGCTATATCTGTTGGAGGTAGGTAGGAGTTCACAAACTCTCGGGACAGAGCACAGCCCTGCCGAACTCGGCATCTTCCCTGGTTTGGGAGACGATCGCATACTGCGAGGTGAATGTGTGAACTGAAGACCATGTGACAGCCCTGCAAATGTCCTGAACGGGGACATGGGCTAAAAAGGCAGCCGACGAAGTTTGCGCCCTAGTTGAGTGCCCTCACAATAGATGGCGGAGAGATTCCCGTAAGGTCATAACAGGTACGGATTCACGAGGTGATCCAGTTGGAGAGCCTCTGAGTGGAGATCGGTCAACCAAACCCCTCATGCATTCAGCCAAGGCGATGAACAGCTGCAAAGACTTCCTGAAAGGCTAAGTCCGTTCCAGGTAAAAGGCCAGAGCCCGTCTCATGTGAAGTGCGTGGAGGCGGCGTTCCTCACTGGACGCATAGGGCTTGGGGCAGAGGACTGGCAGGAAAATGTCCTGACCCATGTGGTAGGCGGAGACCACCTTCAGGAGTAATGAAGGATGTGGGCGGAGCTGGACCTTATCCGTATGAAACACCGTGTACGGGGGCTCGGAGGTCAGGGCCCTGAGTTCTGAGACCCGTCTAGCAGACGTGATCGCCACCAGGAAGGCTACCTTCCATGAGAAGTGCGACCAGGAGCATGTAGCTAACGGCTCAAAGGGGTGACTAATGTACGGGAAGAGACGATCCAATCCCTTAAGGAATCGGCCAGTCATAGCATGGGAGAATACCGTGTGCCCCTGTGGTGTGCCCCTGTGGGTGGAAGGCCGATATGGTTGCCAAGTGCACCTTGAAGGACGAGGGCGCCAGGCCCTGGGCTCTAAGGTGAAGGAGGTAGTCTAAAATGAGCTGGATCGGGGCAACCACGGGGGAAACGCCTCGTTCAGACGCCCATCAGGAAAACCAAGACCACTTTGCCAAGTAGGCTCGACGCGTGGAGGGTCGCCTGCTTTCCAAGAGGATGCCTGAACCCCTTCTGAGCACGTCCTTTTCTCCTGGCCTAACCATTGAGCAGCTATGCTGTGAGGTGGAGTGCCGCTAGGTTGGGGTGGAGGAGAGCAGGTCCTGGGAGAGCAGGTCTCGGCAGGTCGGCAACGGCGGGGCGACCGCCAGGCTCATGAGGGTCCCGTACCAATGTTGCCTGGGCCACACCGGGGCAATCAGGAGGATCCGGGCCTTGTCTGTCTTTAATTTTTCCAGGACCTGACCGATCAGTGGGATCGGGGGGAAGACATAGAGAAGTTGGCCTGACCAGGATAGTAGGAAGGCATCGGAGATAGCGCCCACTCCCAGCCCCCGCTTGGAGCAGAACCGGGGACACCGGCGGTTCTGCCGGGTCGTGAACAGGTCCACCCGAGGAGTTTCCCACTCTTGGAAAAGTCTGTGCACTACCTCTAGGTGTAGAGACCACTTGTGCTGAGAGGAGAAGTCTCGGCTCAGGCGATCCGCCCATGAGTTCCGGGCGTCCGGTAGGTGGTAGGCCTGTAGGCAAATATCGTGGGCGATACAGAAGTCACACAGCCTGAGGGCTTCCTGGCAGAGGAGCGGGCCCTGCCTTCCCTTTCGATGCAAAACATCGAGGCCGTGTTGTCTGTGAGAACCCTGACCACTATACCCTCCAGGTGCGAGCGGAAGGCCATGCACGCCAGCCGGACAGCCCTGAGCTCCTTGACGTTTATATACAGGGCAAGGTCCTGCGCAGACCACAGACCTTGGGTCTGATCGTCCCGCACATGGGCTCCCCACCCCAGGTCTGATGCGTCGGACACCAGCTCCACCGTCGGTGGCCTGCCCCTGAACGGGACCCCGGGGAGCATGTTCTCCAGGGAGGACCACAATTGTAGGGAGACGATCATCGGCTCGAGCACAGTGAGGACCTTGTCCATCCTGTCTCTGGCCTGGGAGAACACCGAGACCAACCAGAGCTGGAGAGGCCTCATCCTGAGTCTGGCATTGCGAACCACATATGTGCACGCCGACCCGTGACCCAGGAGCTGGAAACACGCTCTGGCTGTCGTCATGGGAAACTTTGTGACTGTGTCAATGAGCCCTTTCAGGGTCTCGAATTTGTCCGGTGGGAGGGAGGCACTGGCCAACGTCGTGTCCAGGACTGCCCCAATAAACTCTCTGCGCTGTACCGGGACTAACATGGCCCTGGTGTCGTTCACCAACAGGCCCAGTGTGGCGCACGTGAACAGGAGTGCCACGTGATCCCACACCTGCGAACAGGAGATGCCCTTGACCAGTCAGTCATCCAAATAGGGGAAGATTTGGACCCCACGATGTCTGAGGTAGGCTGCCACAACAGACATGCACTTTCTGAATACCCTGGGAGCAGTGGACAGGCCAAACGGGAGGACCGTAAATTGGTAGTGCTCCTGCCCAACTGTGAAACGGAGGAAGCGCCTGTGCCCCTCAAATATATGAATGTGGAAGTCATGTCCTGCAGATCGAGGGCGGCGTACCAGTCCCTGGGATCCAGGGAAGGGATGATTGAGGCCAGAGAGACCATGTGAAACTTGAGCTTTACCATGTACTGGTTCAGGCCTCGGAGGTCCGGGATGGGCCTGAGTGCCCCTTTGGCTTTTGGGATAAGGAAATAGCGGGAGTAGTACCCCTTGCGTTTGAACTCCGCTGGCACCACTTCCACCGCTCCTAAGCCAAGGAGCCGCCCCACCTCCTGCTCTAGCAGGGCCTGGTGAGAGGGGTCCCCCAGAAGAGATGGGGGCAGAGGGTGGTTGGGTGGGGTAGAGGAAAACTGGAGGGTGTAGCCCTGGGATACGGGTGTTGAGCACCCAACGGTATGAAGTCAGCCGCGACCACTCCGGGAGAAAAGCAAACAACTGGGTGGAGAAGGGAAGCTTTATTGTGGGTGGATCCCTGGTGTGAACTGGTAGGTCACCTCCGGGTGTCCCGTCAAAACTGACGTTTCCCCGCCTGTTTACCCTTGGAGGACCCGGGGGGGGGGGGGGGGGCAGACCGGGACTGCCTCTGTGGGCATTTCTTATAGTCCTGTGACTTTTTATAAAGGGGCTCGTATTTAGATTGGGTGGCCTGGGTGAGAGCCTGCTGAGGCTTAAACTTGGGCCTAGCCGGAGCTGGGACATAGAGGCCAAGTGTCTTGAGCGTAGTGTGGGAATCTTTCAGGCCATGCAACTTCACGTCTGTCTGTTCCACAAACAGGCCTTGCCATCAAACGGGAGGTCCTGCAAGGAGTTCTGCGCCTCACTGGACAGCCCAGGCAGCAGGAGCCACCATGCCCTTCGCATGGACATCGCGGAGGCCATGTACCTTGCAGCCGTATCCACAGCATCTGACGCCGCCTGCAGGGTTGCCCTGGCAGCCGCTGTACCCTCCTCCATCAGAGCTTTGAACTCCTTCCTGTAACGCTCCTGGAGGGAGTCCTCGAATTTGGGTAGAGAGGCCCACAAATTGAACTCATACCGACTCAGGAGAGCCTGATGGTTCACCACCCTTAACTGGAAACTCGAGGACGAATAAACCTCTCCCCCAAATAAGTCCAGCCTCCTTGAGTGTTTATTTTTCAGAGTAGGGGCTGGTTGGCCCTGCCTTTCCCTGTGGTTGATCGACTTGACCACCAGGGAGTTGGGGGCAGGGTGGGTGTACAGGTATTCATGCCCCTTGGAGGGCACAAAGTACTTCCGTTCTGTCCTCTTAGAGATGGGGGGCAAGAAAGCTGGGGTTTGCCACCTCTTCGTGGAGTGGAAGGGCCACCCTGCCCGGTACCGAGGCCGATAGGACATTGAAGAGGGAGCCTGAGGGTTCCTCCACCTCTTCAGCCTGAAGGTTGAGGCTTGATGCCACCCTTTTCAATAGTTCCTGGTGGGCCTTAGAGTCCTCCTGCGGAACAGAGGGAGGAGAGGCCGTAATCGCCTCATCAGGGGAGGGTGAGGATGCAGGCGCGGTATTCTGCGTACCCACTGGTACCGGAGGTCCTACCACTTGGTCGCCCTCCGGGCACGGAACTGAAGATGCATGTCCCACCGACTCCTTTCTGGGAAACTGGGAAAGGGAGGCTGATGGTCGTTCTGATGCTCCGGCCACTGAGCGAGCCCCTACCGGGAGCTGCGTTGGGGGCCACGGGGCCCATTGGTACTATGGTGCCGGCCAAGGAGCTCAGTGCCACTGCACTTGCTGTGGCACCAGCGGAGCAGGCTGTTCAGCCTGACTAGCCTGTCCCATCGACTGACAACTACGAAGGGGGGCCGCTGTCCCTGGACTGGGAGAAGCGGTGGTGTCGGGAACGGTGCCAACCACGAGACCGTAATCCCGACGTAGAGGAACGGTACCGCCAGTAGCAGCTGCTTCGCGATAAGCTCTGGCAGACGGATCCGCGCTGGTGAGGCGCCGGCAATCGACACTTGGGACTGCGGGAGCGGTGCCGCAGTGGTGTCCTGGAGCGAGATGAAGAATGGAAACGGCGTTGACACCTGCATTGCGACGGGCTACGGTAGCCTCTCAGAGATGAGGACCTCCAGTGCAGTCTGTCTTGGTCTTGACAGGGCCTGCTCCTTTCGCAAGGTCTACGGTCCCTCAAGGTGGAGCGGTGCCTGGAACCCCTGTCAGTCGGAACCCAGCCAGACAACCTGGTGGGGGTCGACGGTGACCGGCATGGACTACGCACGGGATGGTCGCTGAGCAGCAAACGGCGTCAGGAACATTCCCTCGACCGCAAATGGTACCGACCAGGAGGCGACTGCGGCGATCCAAGCGGTGGCTTGCCTCTGGACTGGGGAGCCAACAGTGGCGGAGTCGGAGGCCAACAGGGACTGAGAACTGCCCAACATGGGTCTACTCTCTCCCCCAGTCTTGCTCCGGTGCCTCGGCAGAGAAGACCTCTTCTTAGCCTTCTTGGCGTGCCCTGCAGGTGGGGAGCGGTGCTGACTCGTGGAAGGGGTCGCCACGCACCGACGCCGCTGTACCCAGTGCCAACTCGGAGCAGCGCACCGGAGTCGGGGTCAACACAGACTCCATCAGAATGGCTCAGAGCCGAATGCCTCTTTCTTTCTTGGTCCGAGGCTTGAAAGATCTGCAAATCTTGCCGCGATCACTGAGATGGGTTTCCCCCAGACAGCGTAAACAGTCCACGTGCGGGTCACTCACTGGCATCGGCCGCCTGCAAGTGTCGCACGACAAAGCCCGGGGCACACTAAACTAAACTAACACTAATCTGAACTACTTCACCTACAGGTATTACTACTACGAACAAGAGTTCTAGAGGAAAGCTGCAGACAAGCTGGAGCAGAGCAGTTCTGATGCACCTTCACTGGCGGCAAGAAGGAACTGAGGGTGAGGGGAGCGCGTAGCGCTCCTTATACCGTGCCATAGAGGCGCCATTCCAGGGGTTGCTAGGGGCGCTCTCCTACGGGTACTGCTAGGGGAAAAACTTCTGGCACTGGTGCATGTGGTGAGCACGCACACCTATTGTGGCATACACATGAGCAATCACTCAAAGAACTACTTTAGGTGCAAGGCTGTTTATACAAGAGTCCCCACTGGGGAGAAGCCAACGCTGGATAAACAAACGCTAAACTGCAGCATGGCAACCACCAGCACAGCACTGGGCAGGTCAGAGAACAGGCTTAGATGGAGACTGCGCTCAAGTGACTGGAAGGGGCAAAAACGAAAGTCCCTGACTGCAAAATGGAAAGGGGATGTGATCTGGGGGGCCACGCAGCCTCCTTTCTGAAGGGGCGCATGTAATACTGGTTAAGAAGTGAAGTTCAGAGGCACTTAGGGATATTTGCCATGCAAGCTCATTACCGATTACAATGCAGGTGCAATCATTCTGCCTGGCAGCGCCATATAAAATCGCGATCACTGAATTGCCATTAGATTGGAGCTGGCGAAGATGCGGCGAAGACGCATGAGCAGAAGGATCTCTGTGTAGGAGCTGGAGCCAGCGCAGAGAAGTATGGCAAAAACTTGGAAGCTGAACAATCGGAGCCATAGCAGCACTGCTATCAAGTACTATGTGCCACATAAATGAGAAATTCAGGGATTGTGCCACCATCCCCAGGAGTATGTCAATGGTTTGTTCCCTCAACTGCCATCCAATAATCACCACCTAGGTGCACTGAACTGCTCTGAAAGCTGTTCCTATAGCAATGCATATGTCCACAGGATCAGTGGAAGAATTTCTGAGTGGCAGCCTCCAATCTAAGTCGCCTTGATTCTGTCAGTCAAAGCCCAGTGTAGTAACAAACAGGCAGTCACAGCAGCTAAACCATTGTACTTTTCTCCAGTACCCTGCAGGGGGAGCTCTATATATACATATCAAAGAGATGGAACAAACAAGTCTACTGCCAAGTTTTCAGCACCTACTTTTTCAGTGAGACGCAGTAGACTGCAAGCTGTTCCACTGCTGCCTGCCCTATTCCCATATCACGGATCATCTCCTCCACTTCCGGGCGCTGGCTCTGCAGGAGCATCTCAATCCTGAAACAGACACGTCCTGTCAGGTTCCCACGCAGCCATGAAGAGTGGAGCTGGGAAAGGAGCTGGAGTGCTGGGTCATTACCTGGGCCACTAGTGTGCTGATCCCCTACTGCAGTGACACACTGGGATGGAAGCTACAGCTGCCCACTAGCTGCCCCTCAGTGAGCTGGGCTATTTGGGAGGAACAGTGGGGCAGCAATGGCTTAGCAATTAGCGGGGGGGGGGGGGAAGGCAGTTGTGCTATAGTGGATTGAGCACCAGGCTGGGAGTCAGAACTCCTGTGCTCTATTCCTTGTCATTGTCCCTGGGCAATTCACATCAATATCTACATGCCTTGGTTACCCCACCTGTAAGCCAAGCTCCCAGTGCCAAATGTTATTGTTTAGGGAGCAAATAACTGCCTGGAGGTGCTGGGGTGGGAAGAGGTGGTGATGAGTTTGGACAGGTCAGGACCAATGAGGACACACCGGCACTGATGCAGGAGGTTCCCAAACCCCAGCTCAACAATGCAACAGCAGTGACATTTCCATCTGCACCAGGAACTAAGGCTGAACCCAAGTAGCTCTGCATTGGTAGCATTCAGAACTATTGCGCAAGACCTCTAAGAAAGTAAGTACGTGTCTCGGACCACTGAACAGCATGCTTGCCCTAGCCCATATATACATACACAGCAGAGGCCCTGTATCTAACCTCTCCATGGTTTTCAGTTTATTTCTCAGCCTTCGGGCCTCCTCTTTTGCACCTTTGGTTTCTTCCTGCTGCTGCTCCAGGTACGTCATTTGTTTCTGAGACAGAGATAGGCACATTTGTGCAGTTAGAATGGGAGATAGGGACTCCTATGGAGACATATAGCTAGCACGTGTGCATTGAAATACCTGCACAACCTGCTCAGCAGTCAGGCTCCTCAAAGCTCTCACCATCTTTAACAGCCCAGGAGCAAGGTGCCCATAGGTTCCCACTCAGCTCCCAACACATGGCAAATTCTCAGTGCTGGCCATCAGATACTTCAGTCCATGAACTGCCCAATTCCATTGCTCCCACTAGGATTATTTGTGGAGAGTCATATGTGACCCTCTCCTTCCGTGTTCAGAAGCGACAAAGCCCCACAGGAAAGAGTCTCCAGTTACTGCAGCCTTCTCCCCATTCAGACACTCCCTGTTCCCTCTGCACTAACCCTCCCATTTTGCTGAACTGCCATCTGTTACCAGATGTGAGAAGTAATCCTGCATGGGGCTTTGCTGGGAGTTCTCAGACACTTTACCAAGACAAACCCAACATAGTCCATCTCCATCAGATTACACTGGAGGGGCATCTGGAGCTGTCTGAAGGTGCTGCCTGGTTTTCTGGTATTCTCAAAATGACTGGCAGTAGGACATGGCCTGTGCAGGATCAACTGAATATTACTGTATATAAGGGGCTCCAATGGGGATCAGATGGTTTTAACAACCTTTCAGTTCACCTGTATTCATTCCCTAAGCTTTGATCTGCCTGGACAGTTTAATGTATCAGCTTCAAAGGTTCCTGACTGCTTTCCAATGAGACACTGTTTGATTTGACTCCAGAGAGAAGATTGGCCAAAGACAGTGTCCTCTCCTCTCGGCAGAAGCTGGAGGGGTTTAATATGCATTCAGTCTCAGACCCTCCCACTGGCTCACCATGTTACTACATAAAAAAGGAGGCCTGAGATGCCGCTGTCCCTCTGCAAGGTCTCACCTTGCCTGGCTAGGATGGTTACCTTTCTCATACCAGTGCCACCTTTTGCCGCTCCTGGCCAGCTCTCTCCACCACATTTGCACTACTGTTTCCACTTCCCTCGCACTGCTCTAAACTGGCATGATACACGGTTCTCTGACTCCCTGGCCAGAACTGCCAACGCGACCACATTTGCCCCTCTGGCATCCAACTGTGGTCCCGAGGCACCAAGCAGGTTCATCAGTAACTGATGCGGTGCTAGCGGAAGAAAGGTCCGGCTTGAAGCTGGTGAATTTGGCCTCTGCCATGGCTAGAAAGGCCTGCAACAGCATAGCAGAGGCTCCAAGCCTTATGCTTTAAACAGTCTGAGGAGAAACAGTGCACAGAACTCTGCTGGGAGATCTCAGACACTTTCAAGAGGAGAAAACGCAATGAGCATGATGCCTTTTCTTCCAACGTTCCCAGATTACACTGGAGGGGCTTTCACACATGTCAGAGAGCAATTACAGTCAGAGGAAAGATAGGTTATGAGTCTCCCCTTGAATCTCGGGTAGGGAAAGCCCAGGAGAGGGGGTGTGTGGAAACCTAGCAGCAAACCCAATCACCTAAAGCAAAATCATCTTGGGAAGGGCTCATTTGTATTAGCTGCAACAGCACACCCCGATTTAGAGTTTTACAGCAACTGAAGTGTTTGCATGACCAGGAAATGCTAATAAGCCTCACAGAGAAATTCTGTTCATTGGGACACCCCAGCGACCTATAAAACTACTGAAAAATATGAAAGTCAGGGAAAAAGGGACAAGGTACCCTTGGGGTGAAGAGTGATTTTCACAGTTTCACCTTTTTTCTTCTGTTTAACCTAGGTGCATTAAGAATGCAGCTCCGCACTCACAGTTGGTGAAGCACATCTTACTCGGTGGCAAAGTGCACCCCCAATACGTGGTATTTATGGCACTATCATCTCAATCAAGCAGCAGCTAAGACCAATCACTATGATTAAGTTAGACCAGTTTCCCTGGGGGGCATCACAGGGAAGTGGCCATCCCATCCCTGTCCTAGTTTATTCACTCATGAGTTATGACTATATACATATAGACACACACAAACAGATTATTTCCTGTTAGTGGCTTGACAGCAGCACAATGGTTGGTCCAACCCAGCAACTTTCTCTCTGTACATTTCAATTAACTTGCCTGGGTGGAGGCAGAAATCACTAATTAACATTAACTAATTCACACTGAACCCCACCAGGCCTACAGAAAGATTTAATGCAGGGCACTAGTGTCAGTCCTCAACAGAAGCTAGGGTCTCGCTCCCTAAGAGAGCATTCACACTGATGCGATGGAAGAGCAATACTGACACTGCATCAACAAGCCAGACCCTCATTCCCTGGCCTTGAGCGGAATGCTGTTTTTAAGCAGGATTCTAACAAGCCACCCCAGCCACAAATCGCTTAGGCTAAGCACAGAGAAGACCCAATGTCATAACATGTCAAGTACTCCAACTGCTTTAGATTCATTCAATAAGTGTATTGTTTCCCCAATATCTCACCTCTTCCAAGGTGCACGGGTCCAAGGGAGGTACCTCAGGAAATTACTGTCCCAGGGTGATGTGTGTTAGAACTGAAAGGCATCGCCTTGAAATAGCACTGCTACCCTAGAGAACCTTACCCCTTTGCCCCCTTGGCTCTTCTATAGCACCACCTCCTCAAGGAGCTCAGACAAGGTTAAAGGAGTGTCTTAAATGGGAACGCAGCCCCATTGCTCTTCTTCCACTTCACATCTGGAGAGATGGGGTCCAGGAAGCTGGTTTCAGAGCCAGGAACAGAACTTAGACCTCCGAGCGCAGAGCCACCTGTCCTCTCTGCATAGGCCTGAGGACAGTGTGACCCAGAGGAAGAGCCAGTGAGTCTGTAACCCTAGCCAGAAATGGGGAAGATCAGATGTACGCTGCCCATGGAGGAAGGTACCTTGAGAGTGGAACACAGCATCTCTGTCTCACACAGGGCTTTCTGGAGCGACTCGATGGTGGCGTTGTGAACATCCACAGTCTCCCTCAGTGTGTCTATGATAGACTGGCAGTCTCGCTTCTCCTTCTCTGAAAGGAAATGCTCACATAGCACTTGGAATGCCTTGCCCTGGGCAGCCCTGAGACCCATGGATCTGAGGGCAGATATGCAGCCAGAGTGACAGACAGGATACATAAATTCAGATTGAGAAACTCTCAGAGATTTAGTCATTTCCCATCAGACCCCCTCCCCACTGAATGCAATGTGTCAGACAGGACCTGTGCTAAGCAATCCCTGCACCCAGCACCAGTAGACTTTAAACATTTCTTTACCAATCAAGAAATGGCCCAGCCCTAGCTTGCCCAGTCAATGTGGACTGAGATAACTATCATGCGCTATCCCCCAGCTGCTCCCAAAGGCAAGCTTGGGTGCAAGGAGCTTGCATCCTTGCAGGCCGAACAAAACATTTATAAAACTAAAAAGCTCTGGTGAGCTGCCTCGACGTTGCTCTCCCAGCGAGAAGTCGTGTGTGCAGGGTTCATGCTTAGATAGGCTTGACAGCCGCTGCTGTGCACAGGAACACAGTGTCTACGTGCAGAGCAATTACACTGCTGTGCAGTTATGCTGCTGTCACTCACCCTCACCACAGTCTGTGTGTCTCAGGGTGCGAGATCACAAACACACAAGCGAAGCAGCATTAAAGCACAGCTCTGCAGAACGCACTGGGGCTCTGAAAGGCCACGTGATACTTGATTAAGGCAGATTTATCACTCTGGAACGTTTCCAGTCCTTGCACATCACAAGGCCTTAAAATCCTGTTGTTCTGATCGCCCCTCCCCCACACTAATATCCCCAATTCTGATGCCTTGGCTGCCAGCAATAAAGCCTTTGGGGCTGGAAGGTGTATTAATGCCTGTGTAGCAGCGCCCTTTCTTGGCCTCTCCACAAACGCAGTCAGAGACCAACTGAAGTGCAGCACCCTTGTCCTTTTATTGTTTGTGTCTGTTCCCACCACCGTTTATTTACAGATATTTACAGGGACCAACACTCTGGGAGACTACTAGCTTCCCAGCCAGCAAGGATCTAGAGCCCATGCTCCTCCCTTTCCTGTCTCCCCCCCTGCTTCCTGTCTCTTAGCCAGCTTTATAGGACAGGCTGGCTACCCAGACCTGCAGGTGGATCCACTCTGGTAATTAGGGCGTGGCCCTTCAGCCAGCCCAACTAATACCCTTCTTCCTCTGGAACAGGGCTAACAGGGGCCTGGTTTATTTCTCCTAGCCAGCACCCTGTTACAGCCTGCCTTCAGCCACATGAGATACAGAGGTGCACAGATCCTGCTGGAACTGAAGTGTGTTCTGGAGGGAGGCAGGAAAGCCAGCTGGTGGTCAGACTGACCAGTATCATGAGCTGACAGAGCCAGCAGAGAACATTTTACATCACTGGAAAGCTCCTGTTTTGCAGCTGTATAAGGCAGTGGTCCCCACCTCTCGCAGTGCGACTATAGTCAGTCATGGACAGCAAAGCAGCACTATTTTTGAGCACTGTTTAAATCCACTCATCCTCCCGGTTTCCATCAGCTCTCTGGTAGTAGCTGACCATTACTGGAGAGGGGCTCAAGGGCTTGCTCACCTTGGCAGCCCTGCAGCTTTAATCCCTGCCAAGGCCTGAGGCATTGCCGGCTTTGTGACATTGCCGCCATCCCAAAAAAACAACTGAGCTGGCAAACAGGATTATGGCCTCCCTGGGAAAGGAGGCAGAAGATGCCCAGCTGGGACCAGGGGAAAGAGAGGGAGAAACTGGTGTGCGTGTGCGCACCCTCACACAAACAAATCAGTGATAGCCACAAGATGGCCATAGGAAGTGGCTGGGTAAGTAGGTTGGTTTGTAAGTAAAGTGTTTTCCCACACTTGTTTGGGTGGTCATACCTATCCAGGAGCAGCATACTTTGGGGGGGGTGAGGGGGATGCATCCCGCTGCACACACTTTCAGGCAGGACTTCCCCTGGTGCGGTGGCAGGAGGCTAGCTCTGCAGGACTGAAGCTTTCAGGACTAACAAATGTTTCATTTCTGGTATTTGTGATGTGAAGAAAATGTTCCAATGTGACCAGAGTGTAGCAATGCCTCCTGGGCTCTGCAGACAGATCTAGCACCTCAGCTACTGGTCTCAGGTCTGTACAAGACTCTTCTCAGGTACACATCTGCTCTTTAGAACCCCTTGTGGCAGCTGTGAAACTGACAAGGCTACTTTCATTCTGCTGCTGGGGAAAGCTACGGAGGCAGATTCTTGAAAAAGGAGGAATCGAAGCTGGAGGCACTGCAGGCAGAGTCCTTGAGGCTAGGAGGGCAGGAGGAATAGACTACACGCAGTCAGGACACGGGACAGAAGAAAGCTTCTCCTTCCCAGCAGGGAGACCTCATAGTCCAGGACCTCCTAGCTAACATAAAAAAGCAAATCTGCAAAGCAATTCCTTTGGAGAGCATTCTGGTAGGAGTCCCAGCACTCTTCCCCAGAAGGCGGGGCTCAGTTACTCACTATGTCAGTGCCCCGGACTGCTTGCAAGGAGGGGCCTTGATATAGGCATCTGATAGATTTTCTAACTTTTATCAGGCTAATAAATAGATCTAGTCAACTATTTCTGTCTGCTTTGCACACGTGAGAGGGCAGAGGACCCAATAGGAAAGCAGGCTCTTTGGAAATGGCTGAAACTCTCTCCACTCCAAGCTCCCTTTAAAGGTTTTTTTTGCTTATTGCAAACTCATGTCTCAGGATTTCTGTCACTCAGACTGACTGACATTTTCCTTTGGCTGCTCATGACTCATGTTCTGATGACAGGCTGCCTACAGACAATGCTTAAAACACATTGACAACATCCCCAGGGTTTTCACTTTCCTGCCTCCATCAAACAGGCTCTAAAATTAAAGAGCCCGAGCTCTTTAAAGCAATGGGAAAATAGAAACACACACATCAAATTGTGCCTGCTCTTTTGGGGATGCAGCATCGCAGTAGCTGAATAAGTGCCAAAGTTCTCCCATTTCCGTTTGGGCCCCAATTATACGCCCTCTTCTGCCACTTTACACTTGAAGAAATGAGCTAGTGACATTTGGCAGCTGTGGGTCTCCTGATAAACAGGCCTAACTCAATGAAACAATCTTTGCTTTCCGCTGATTCCCACCTGGAATAAGCGCTACACTGAGCCGTCAGTAGTATGTCAGCTGGGACAATCTTGCAAGGGACATAATTACAGTACGGGGGGGGGAGGGATAGCTCAGTGGTTTGAGCACTGGCCTGCTAAACCCAGGGTTGTGAGTTCAATCCTTGAGGGGGCCATTTAGGGATCTAGGGCAAAAATCTGTCTGGGGATTGATCCTGCTTTGAGCAGGGGGTTGGACTAGATGACCTCCTGAGGTCCCTTCCAACCCTGATATTCTATGATTCTGTCTCACATAAGAGCCCTAGCATTGAACAAAGTCTACAGGTCTCTCTACTCTACTTACTGGCCCAGCAAGCTTAAGACTCATGATCCCCAGTTTGCTCTGTCTGACCGGTTTCATAGAGGCAGACCCCACTTGTACTGTAGGCTCAGAGAGCACCCTCATATATAAATGCCTCAACTTTTCTGCTGCAAACTGACCTGAAAGCCTCAGCACAAAACAAAACAGTAGCTTGAGAAAGCCCAGAGCCTGCCAATCCCATGTTCCTTCTCTCTGCACCCTTACTGCTGGGCAGAACACTCTTCTGTTTCCTTTCTGAACTCACCTTTCATGGAGAGCTGTGCTTTCACCTTGTCCAGTTCATTCTGAAATGCAACACAAAGAACCAGATGAGGAGCAGCACCATGCAGTAACCTTCACCTAATCTTAGAGGAGAGTTCTAGGATTCCTAAATGCTTTCTCCTGGTGAGTTACATGACCAGGTGCTGAGAGCAGAACAAAATAGTGAGGAATGCCCTTGTTATATGCAACATTCCCAAGTGCTACTGCAGAACACACGGGGAGCACCTCAAACTGGTAGTGCTTCAGGGGAAGAACAAGACTGCCACAGAGAACATCCCAGTCTTATCTTATCCTTGTCACTCTCTCGTTTCTCACAGTGTCAGTCATTTTTACTGGGTTGAACAACTCTGGAAAGCCTCTCAGGGAAAACATTTGAAGTCAGAGAAAGAATTTTCATAACATCTTAACTAAACAAGGCAATAAGGCAAGGATCTTGACAGACAGAACTAGATTGCTGATTATTTTTAACTAGAATTATGAGTTCAGTGGTTGAAGGGAATGCAATAGATGTAATGAAATTGGGCCGTAGACACAGAACAATGGATAGATTTGAACATGCCCAGCTAGACAGAAAATGAAGTGGGTGAGCAAGTGTCTAACAAAACCATATTCAGTGTTCATTCATATCAGCTTGGATATGGATGCTTATGTGAACTGACAATTGGCTTGCAGCACCCTAAATAAAGGGCAACCATAAACTGATCAGTATCAAGTCAGGGGAGGTGGTGTCTGGCAAGTACCATAGGGATCCGGGGAAGATCACATCTTATTAAATACCTTCATTAGCAATCTGGAGAAGGGAGAAAATAGCATGTTAATTGAATTAACAAATACTAAATTGGTAGATGCTGTAAACCCAGTGAGGATACAATGGGGACCTACAAGGGGTTGGAAAAGTGGGCAGAGAATAATTAAGTGAAGCCAATACATCTGGGGAAAAATCTGAAACATACTTAATGGGAGAAAGAAACCTGAAAAGCAGTAATATTGAGAGACCTGCAGGGGACAGTAGACAGCAAGCTGGACAGGAGTTGCAATATAACTAGACAGCAAGAAATGCCAACACAATGCAGAAGGTGCATACGCAGAGGCATCGTGTCAGAGGTAATAGCCTCTCTCTCTACATGGTACCTGGAATATTGTGTTCAATTCTCTCATCTGTTTGCCAGAAAGATATTGACAAATGGAGGAATTCAGAGAACAGCAACAAAAATGATCAGGGAGCTGGAGGGACGAGACTGACATTTGGCTAAGTGACAGCTAAGGGACAGGGGAGCAGAAGCCACAGGATTTACAGTATATACCTATTTGAAAGGCGTAAATACCCTGGATGGAAAGAGGCTAGTTACTGTGAGGCACATGGCTATAATTAAGGGCTTGTCTACACAGGGAAATTGACCAGAATTAACTATTGCAGAATAGCTCCCCATGTGGGCCTTATTTTGGAATATAAGTGTGCTCAAATAGTGCACTAATTATTCCAGAATAAAGTGACTTATTCTAAAATAGAATGTCCACTTGGGGAACTATTCTGGTCAATTTCCCCATAAAGACAAGACCTAAGAATAATGGGATAAGACTAGGAAAATTTAGGCTGAACAACAGGATAAATGAGATATGTTGGGCTTTAGAATAGTCTCCAAAGGAAAAAGGAAACCCTGCTATCTTGGCTCCTCCTGCATTGACACAAAGATGAAACTGCGTAACCAAGAAGGCTTTTTCCAATCACCCAGTACCGACGGTTTACGATTCTGTACATGATAGTCATACATCGGGGTTCTCAAACGGGGGGTCGGGACCCCTCAGGGGTCACAAGGTTATTACATGGGGGGTCGTGTGCTGTCAGCCTCCACCCCAAACCCCGATTTGCATCCAGCATTTATAATGGTGTTAAATATATATATAAAAAAAAAGTGTTTTTAATGTATAAGGGGGTTACACTCAGAGGCTTGCTATGTGAAAGGGGTCACCAGTACAAAAGTTTGAGAACTACTGGTCATACACATAAGCACTATAAGCTAACCTTCCTCCAGAAGATCAACATTACACTTTTAAACTATTTTGAAAACATCGCAGGGCAACAGGAAGCATTCAATGTGATGGTATTGCTCAGCTTGCCCCCGTGCCCTGTTAATATAAACAGTAAACTGAGTTTAAACACTATGTGAACAAATTCAACTATTTGCATACAAAGACATGCAGTTCTCTCCTGGTACTAAAGGGCCCTGCTTCCTGCTAATTAGCAAAGATGCATGCTGGGGAGCCAAGGACTTGCTCCTGTAGTTGCAAGATTCATTCTGTATGGGCATAGCACATTCATCTCAAGTATCTGTGTCTACGGCAGAAAGACTGCCCTCACATCGATACCTAGAAGCACAGGAGCAAGACTTCACTGAAGAATCAAGCAGGAAGAGAAAACTAGGTGGAAAGAGAATGCGACTCCAGAAAGAGCTACAAAAGTGTTTAAAAAACATGAAAGAGAAAAAACAGTCAGTGGCAAGAAAAATTGCTTTTCTAGAGAGATCTTTTTTTTAGCCAGCCCACAGCGAGAGTGCCACTCATCTATTTAGCATGCATTCAAACCAGTTCTTGCAAGCATAAAGGCAGAATTTATCTGCTCCAAGTCATAGTTTTAGGTAGCTATGGGTAATTAGACATGTTTTATAGGCCGTCTTCATCTTTTCTGCACATGCATTATAGCCCACAATATATGTTAGCTGTTTCTGAAGATGACACTTACCTATGTTATGTCTTGCATTCCTCTCCCACCCCACACACATGAAATACACAGCAGTTGCCATGACGATGTTAATTATGGTAATCGCTGCACATGCTGATTTTAAACACAAGAGGGTATAAGAATCCCATTATACTAAGGTCAAGGCGATTTTCTTCTTTTTAAACAGTTGACTCAGACATGCAGAAGTAGGACTTTGCCAATGCTAAACTACTGACTTGAAGACAGAGCACCAGAATATCCTGATTTAACTCTTTGCATTCAGAGTTTTCCAAAGCTAAACACCATACACACTGCTATCATCAAGAGATTAGTTTACATACATCCCTAATCAAAGCAGTTTTCCTGCAGTTACCAGTGTGTCAGTTTTACTCTGATGCTCAGTTTAAGAGAGAAAGCATAAAGGTACAGATTTCCCTATGCTGCTTTGTTTAAAGGCATTTCTGGTCAATTTCAATGAGTTAAAAGTAGGTTGGCATAGCAGACCTGCTCCCATGTCAAATGTGGGGTTCTGAGAAAAAAAATCAGATGAGGTAGTCATACCATTTGATAACGCTCTTTCCATTCCACTAGAATCTCAGAAGGATGTTAAATAGCTACTAAAGTTAGACATTTTTAAATCAGCAGGCACAGATAATTTGCATCCAAGAGTTTTGAAAGAGTTGGCTGAGGAGCTCACTGAACTGTTAATGTTGATTTTCAATAAGTCTCAGAACTCTAGGGAAATTCCAGAAGACTGGAAGAAAGCTAATGTGCCAATTTTTTAAAAGGGTAAATGGGATGGCCTGGGTAATTATACAGCTGTCAGTCTGACATTGTTCCTGGACAACATAACAGAGCAGCTGATAACGGGATTAGATTAATAAGGAATTAAAGGAGGGAAGTATAATTAAATGCCAATCAACCTCAGTTTATGGAAAACAGATCCTGTCAAACTAACTTGATTTTTTTTTTTGATGAGATTATAAATTTGGTTGATAAAGGTAACAGCATTGATGGAAACAACTTCTGTAAGTCATTTGACTTAGTATTGCATGACATTTTGATGAACTAGAACATAAAATTAACATGGCACACATTAAATGGATTAAAAACTGGTTAACTGATAGGTCTCCAAATGTAACTGTAAACAGGGTATCATCATCTAACAGGTGTGTTTCCAGGAGAGTCTTGCAAGGATTGGATCTTGGCACTATGTTATTTAACATTTTTATTAACAACTCATAGACTCATAGACTTTAAGGTCAGAAGGGACCATTATGATCATCTAGTCTGAACTCCCGCATGATGCAGGCCACAAAAGCTGACCCACCCACTCCTGGAATAATTCTCTCCCTTGACTCAGCTGTTGAAGTCCTCAAATCATGATTTAAAGACTTCAAGTCGCAGAGAATCCTCCAGCAAGCGACCCCTGCCCCATGCTGCGGAGGAAGGCGAAAAACCTCCAGGGCCTTTGCCAATCTACCCTGGAGGAAAATTCCTTCCCGACCCCAAATATGGCGATCAGCAGAACCCCGAGCATGCGGGCAAGATTCTCCAGCCAGACCCACATTGACCATTGATACTAATTACCAGCGATGGTACGTTATTGACCTATTGACTAAAATCACGTTATCCCATCAAACCATCCCCTCCATAAACTTATCAAGCTTAATCTTAAAGCCAGAGAGGTCTTTCACCCCCACTGTTTCCCTCGGAAGGCTGTTCCAGAACTTCACCCCTCTGACGGTTAGAAACCGTAGTCTAATTTCAAGCCTAAACTTCCCGACGGCCAGTTTATATCCATTTGTTCTCGTGTCCACATTAGTACTGAGCTGAAATAATTCCTCTCCCTCCCTGGTATTTATCCCTCTGATATATTTAAAGAGAGCAATCATATCCCCCCTCAGCCTCCTTTTGGTTAGGGTAAACAAACCGAGCTCCTCAAGTCTCCTTTCATACGACAGGTTTTCCATTCCTCGGATCATCCTAGTGGCCCTTCTCTGTACCCGTTCCAATTTGAGTTCATCCTTTTTAAACATGGGAGACCAGAACTGCACACAGTACTCCAAATGAGGTCTCACCAGTGCCTTGTATAACGGAAGCAGCACCTCCTTATCCCTACTAGAAATACCTCGCCTAATGCATCCCAAGACCGCATTAGCTTTTTTCACGGCCACGTCACATTGCCGACTCATAGTCATCCTGCGATCAACCAGGACTCCGAGGTCCTTCTCCTCCTCCGTTACTTCCAACCGATGCTTCCCCAGCTTATAACTAAAATTCTTGTTAGTCATCCCTAAATGC